GGCCAAAACTGGTCCTCAACTGCCGTTTTACAATTTCAAATGCTACGGTTCAAACGTGGAGCAAGTTCGTAAAAGAGAGATGAAAATAAAAACGTAGTGCGTTGCTGTGGAGCGTCATGGGCGAGTAAAACGCGGATGATGTTATTTAACCAGCCCTACATCCGCCTCTCTGGATCAAAAGGGACACATTTCATCAGCGCAATTTGAGATTTTCCCCAAACGGCGCTATCTGTCACCCGTTGTGTAAGGGGCCAGTAAACTCACCAATAGCATCTGGCAACCGAGGCAGTGAACTGTTGAACACAATCTAACTGCCGAAGAGCTCCAAACATGTCCAAAGCGGTCCGCACTGTTGCGTTTTGTCGTTTTTTTAAACAAGTGCTGCTGATATGCCGTGCACTCCGCTGCTTTAGATAACGCCGCTAGATAATTCTGTGGAGGCGAAAGTCTGTTTCTTTTATTAAGTGAATTTAGCAGAGCACTCAATCCTGTTTAGCGATTGGATGTGAACACGTGTAATTTGAGGTACAGACCTCTCCGTTATCTGTTGGCTGATCAACATCGAGACGGCAGCGTGGGTTTGGATGTTGATAAGCGCCGCTTTGTCGGGGGCACCACACTGCAACGTGGTTACCCAGAATGCAATGTGTCACCAACATTAGATTAATTTACTTCTAATACGAATCAGTTTTAGGCATAAAAAAAATTGTTTTTACTCTAAAAACTAGTAATCAGTAAATACTCTGAAACATGCTATCAGGGCCCCATGGTGCAAATGGTCTATAGCTGTGCAGTTTGCATCTATTATTCACTCCCTTTCTCTGGCCTCTCTGTCTGCTACGGAGAAGAGCCGTTGCCGTAAAGGTTAACAATGTTTCATATATATATGTAGAAAACCTTATTTTGCACCTCAAGGCCACCGCAGCGCAATCATCGGCCTACGCGTGCGGTCGCGCGCTATTCCGGCGCGCGCGACCGCACGGCCAACGCAGCCTCGCCAGCATCACGCGTGTTCAGAGAGGACGTCTGGAGCGCGCGCGCGCGCGCTTCCACGTGACGGAGCCGCGCACGCGAAGGCGACGCGGGAGAGGCGGCGAGCGGCTGTCGAGCACATGGTTAGACACGCTACGGAACCGGCATTGACGAAAACCAAAGCAAAAAAACCTTTAAGGTGACATTCGTTTGGTTGGCCGAAGGTAGAAGCTGGGCGATAGTGAAATTGTTCGGGCACCGAGACGCACAAGGAGAACAACAGGTTCAGGTTATTCATTTAGTTCACGCGCACGGGGGGGGGGGGGGTGGGGTGGGGGGGGGGTTTCCGTGTAAAAAAAAAAATGTCAAAAGGGTGACGAGTTAAAGACTGTGTGGCCCGGTGTCTAGCGACCTATTTAATAATACAGCACGCTTGGAATCATTCGAACCTGGCAGCAGATATGTAACGGTGGTTGTTGTTTCCACCTCCTAAAGGCCGGTACGGGTTGGGCGGGGGACGGGGAGGGGGGAGCGGCGTGGCAGCGGCGCTGCGAACCCGGCTGTCCGGGTTCGTTTTCCCGGCCACGACCAGCTGACATCGGGGGGGGAGGATGGGTGGGGTGGGGGGATATCTCCAGGGGACGATCCTACACCCAAACCACGCCCTCCCCCCCCCTCCTCTCTGTTACCGGCAAGCCGTACTGACCAGGAGAGCCAAGGATGGTCAATTAACCGGGGAGGGGGGAGGCCTTCATCCAGCAGTGGATTCACAAAGGGCAGTCCATTAATTGCGTTCATCGATTCAGCGACGGCACGATTTTGTAACGGTAACGGAATCGCGGTCAGAGTTGCTCCGATGCGTTTTTCGGGTTGCGCTGCCCCGCACGACGTCCGACGTTTCGCGCTCGGCACGCCGGGCGGGAGCTCCTTCGTCGAGTTCCTGAAGAAGCCAGCCAGCGAAACGTCGGGCGTCGTGCCGAACCCCGCGCGGTAGCAACCCTCGGGGTGCAGGGCACGGCTCCTGATTATTTGCGCTCCGTGTATTTTGGCCCAGATGCGGGTTTTTCGTTTTATTTTGCACCTCTAACCGAATTGCATTTCGTGGCGGTGTTTTGTTTCGCGTGTTTGCTCTCTGTGTTCAGCCGAGGTCTCGCTCGCTGTTGAAAATCCTTATCCCCGACAGGTTCCCAACCTCGTAAAATATACACGGACAGGGCCTCCGTGCCGCCGAATTCACCAAACCTGACACTTGAGATCCCTACTTATTATCTTTGCAAACGTCCCGGGGCGAGCTTCAGGAATTCTATCAGATGTACCGGTAAAAAGCGAAACGATATCCACAGCCTTGCCAAAATAGCGTGTAGATTTGTTCATAAATATAAATACTGTTCGGCGCCTGCAAAGAGATAAATTAATTTCCGCTGCGTGCAATTTTCGCAGACTGGCGTTGCGTGCGTTGACGTTCTGTCGCGCTAAGCAACGCCGCTCTCTCTGAGCCTTTGCCTTACTACACACGCGAATCGTAGCGACGAAGCGATTCGCTTTCTCGTTCTTTGTCGGCGAAATCTAAATTGATTTCAAGCTTTCGTGACTGCAGGAATCCATACTCTTTGGTTCTTTCGGTAAAGTCACGTAGGTAGAAAAAATAATAATATATCATGACGTTTTGATCGCAACACAAGCGGTTGAACAGCAGTGGAACTGCTGGATTATTTTTTCCACCGCTGGATTATTTTTTCCACTGCTGGATTATTTTTTCCCGCCCGAGGACGACCGCTTGTGTTGCGATCAAAACGTCGTGCTATGTTATTTTTTATTTTGTTTTATTTTTCTACCTACGTGACTTTACCGAAAGTACCAAGGAGTATGAAATCTAAATTGCTTGAACGCCTGCATCGTCAGCATTGCTGGAGTGCCATCCGTAACCAGCCGATCGATTGCGGCAAAAAAAAGGAGAGTGGCATTGTGGTTGTTGTTGTTGTTACTGTTACTGTACACGTGTGAAAAAAAGGCTTCGTAGCTAATCGGATTTCTCCAGTATAAATAAATATTCTTATTCTGGTTATGGTTGTTGTTGCTGCTGCTGCTGCTGCTAAGGTGAGTTGAAGTGAAAGGCGCAGCCCTGAAAGTGGCCGCTCACGCCACTGCTGGGGGAAGTGGCCTCCATTCACAGGCCGACCCCGGAGAGAGCTCCTTTTAAACGGGTGTCCTTTGGCCTACTCTTCCGCGACCAGAGCAGACGCTTTGGAGGAGTGTTGCAGCGAGCAATGCGAGAGTGTTAAAACTACGCCGAGATGATTTATAAAAAAAAATACCCAACGCTTAAAGTTTGCTTCGCGGCCGCATCTACAATATTCATTCACTATGTCGCTAATCACTAACGTTTTTTTCCGAGGCTGTAACAAAAAATGTAGTTGTGCTATTTTCTCTCGTAAATTTTTGGGACAATTTATTAAGCGATGTCCCGCTTTGCTTAGATTTTGTTCTCTCTTCCGGTTATGACGGTGTAATAATAATAATAATAAGACAATATTTACCTTTATTGACACTTTAAAAACTCAATCTCTGGTACGGGGGCACGCGTGGCGCTTGCAACCTATCGCCAAATTGAGTAACGTCTGTGGTTTAAAAGCAATTCTGAAATAGTGAAAATCATTTTGACGTGCGAGCATTACGCTGGGTCTCTCCCCGTGTGCGTGGCATGGCTACCAACGATCTGAGTGCAGAGAGGCTTTAAAGTTATTCCTTGCCAGGAAATCTTTGTTGTTCCTGAATTCAGAGAATATTTACTCCCGATTAGATTTCCTGCCGCAGATGTACGTGTGTTAAATTTACTTTTCAGAGTAATCGCTTCTCCAATTCCCCCGTGTGCAGGCATTACTTTCTTGCTGATATATTTTGTAATTGGCGAGAGTGTTTTGTTTGATATCTTTTTTTGTTGCTTCGGTCAACATTTTCCGAGCTCGCTTTAAACAAACCGTCGGTAGTCACCAGGCCACAGTGAATGGTCAAAATGGATGTGGGTGCATTGGTTGCGGTTATATTTCATGGATTGCCAAATCAATTCATCGTTCAGTTTCCTTGCCGAATCCCTTCGCCACCCGACAGAACAAATGCGCCGACTGCTTTGGCATCTCGGCAAAACCGGAGGAGGAATTTTGAAAAGCCCAAGGAAAATCTTGACAAATTTTGTCCCACGTTTCGCTGGAGATCGCAGCCAGCGTCGTCGGGTGGTGACTTGCAGCTCAGCTGTCGCGTCAAGGAGCCTTCCGATCCGGCTGCGTTTAAATCCCTGGCGCATGCGATCGTGTTTGCGGAGAATCTCACGCGAGTTTGTTTGCCGATGTCCGCCGTTTTAAAAAAAATATCATGCGTGGGTATCGGCGGACAACGATGGCCTCCTAAAGATCGAGACGTGAGGCGTCTAACGGTGGACGTTATCCCGACAGCCCATCGGAGGCAGAAATCAATTTTTGGGCTTGTGTCACGTGGCTTACGATCATTACCTAATGCACAAGCTACAAAAGATTAATTACATCACTGCTGCGAGAAAAAATTAAGCTACGGAGAGCCTGATTGCGGGTTCGTATTATTTGAGTCGTGTCCCTAGAACGATGAACCGATTGTATATTTTACCGGGATCTGAGTTCGATTTTGTGCACCCCCTTAAATTTTGTCATGAATCTGATGAGCACCCCCGCCCCCCGCCCCCCCCCCCGTGATCTCCTTGAGACCCTACTAAGCCTGGATTGCTTCTGCCCGAGCGTGGCCACAATTGCCCCCACCCCCACACCGCTCCCCGTGCCCCCCCCCCCCACCCTCAAAATATATAAATGGAAAGCACTGCGCCAATTTCGCGGAAAGATTATAAATATATATTGCGCATTTTTTTTGGGGGGGGGAGGATGGGTGGTTTTCGTTCAATTCCCGGGCGTTACGTTTTTTGGGTCGATCTGAGAATTGGTTTGCTGCCAAGTTAGCGTGAATCCAAGACTGGACTCGGAGGTTGGGTGGGGAGAGTCACTCACTTTAGGGAGAGTCGTGGGTCACCGTACGGAGCGTATGGAGACACGTTTAGGATGAACTCCTTTGGAGGGTAGGAGCTCCATTTCTGATGGGCCATAGTGTCATTGTTATTCCAAAAATCTTTATCAAGATCACTATGGAGACACAAAAAGGAAAACGAGCAAAAAAAGGGAAAAACAAAAAGGAAAGAGAAGAGAATGAGGAGGAAAAAACCACAGACAACAAGAAAGGAAACAAAAGACAGTGAGTAATGTCATTTCCTTCAAACAGCCGAGTAGAAAAAAATAGCCCCATCGAGAGCGAGCCGGCGAGGCGTGGCCACCGCGACGCGAGCGCCGACTCCACCGCCGTCGCAAAGCGTGGCGGGAGGTGGCCCGCTCGGACGGATCCACCGGTGGTGCCCCCCCCACCCCCTCCCCCTGAGCCAGTAGTGGACATTCCACATTGCTATGGCAGGGCGGCAGACTGCCTGTGCATGCAACTACTGTTGACTTGTCGGGAAAGTCGCAAATTGCTGGGTGGTCATTTTGTTGACCCCCTGCCACCCGCTCGCAAAGGTATGATGATGACGATGATGATGAGGAAGACGACGATGATGAGAATGATTATGAGGCTGATGATGGGGCTGATGATGGGGCTCATGATGGGGCTGATGATGATGGGGCTGATGATGATGGGGCTGATGATGATGGGGCTGATGATGGGGCTCATGATGGGGCTGATGATGGGGCCGATAATGGGGCTGATGATGATGGGGCCGATGATGGGGCTGACGATGGGGCTCATAATGGAGCTCATGATGGGGCTGATGATGATGGGGCTGATGATGATGGGGCTGACGATGGGGCTGACGATGGGGCTCATAATGGGGGCTGATGATGACGGAGCTGAGTTCGACCCCTCACGACCGGGAGTTGAACCCACGCGCCGCCGATGGCAAGCGCAGCGCTCCGGCCGCTGCGCCCTCACCACCACTGCAGGGGGGGGGGGGGGGGGGGGGGGCTGGCGTCGTAGTGGCCGCTGGGGATTAGTCACGTGAACAGCACCGCTTGGCCTTCAAACAAGAAGAAGCATTACCCCCCCCCACCTCCACCGTGTAGGATCTCTCTCCCGTCTGCTACCGGGCTCTCCTGCGCTTATCTACAATATAACGACACCGCAGCGTTGCTTCCACTTCCTTTGGACTTATCTCTGGAGCGAAGTAAAGACACCCCACATGCGGTGCCAGGAAGATAAGACGTCCAATTTGGCCATCCAACCCCTCACCTTGTTGGCTAACAGCCGACCTCTGTCGGCGGTTATCGTCTGATGGTGATGATGATGATAATTAGCAGGGTTTTATTTCTCACGCGAGTAGTTTTCTTTTCTTCCGGAACGCTGCTACAGGCCCGGCTGGGAGTAGAGTGGAGATTTTCGGAGTAAGGCACTACCACTAGAGTACGACTGGACATCTGGGAAAAAGAGCTTCATAGCTCATCGGGTTTCTCCGGGATAAATCACTATTCTGATTCTGTACAATGTACGCCTACCCGTAACAATACTTACTGTGTATTATCTGGTTATATATTTCTGATCAGCGGATGTGCAATGTTTACGAAATGTGTGACTTATTATTTGTATAATAAATATATGTTTCACGTGGAATATCCCGTGAGTTGAAACATCTCGTTTGTAAAAAAAAAGCCCGTTTGTAGCATGAGCTATGCGCTATGAAGATGGCCCATTGTCCGAAACGTCGCCTATTATATCGATTTTTTGCGGCCAGACACACTTTTTATTGACGAACGTGTGGAGGAGTTTTCTGTACCAAGATGGGTGTGGCTGGGTGCTGGAATTAAGCACTGATGATTACGACGCTGATGATGACGATGATGATGATGACGAAGCTGAAGATTGTGGCTTTCGGAGCTATGAATGCCACGGGAAGAAAAATAAATATGAGCCCAGAACCACCACCAGCACCAGCACCACCACAACCACCACCAGCACCACCACAACCACCACCAGCAACCACCACCACCACCGTATCGGCTGCCGAGAAAAGTAAGCGAGCAGAGGAGGCCGTGGGGGAACGGAAAGCGAAGGGGGCAGCGCGAGGGAACGAAGGAAAGCGACAAGGAGGGTTTGAGTGAACGAGAGAGAGAGAGAGTGCGCCCGAGATCGGCCACTGCGGAGATGGAGCGATGGAGGAGCTCGGCTCGTGAGTGGGATCGAGCGATGGCGACGGCGTGGGGAGCCTCTTGTTAATCCAGCAGTGGATAGAACGTGACTCGCGGGAACGACGACAGACTTGGATGACCATGCCACGGAATCAAATGTCTCACCAACACGGGGGTGTTGCGAACGTCAAAATATAAACATCAAAAGCAAACAAACAGCGAAGAGATAAACGTGCAGCCCTTTGCAAAATCCACTGCTGGATGGAGGCCTCCCCAAGCCATGTCTACCGTGGGGGGGTTGCATGACCATACTTCACCACGCTAGTCAGTGTGTGTTGGTGAAGGGGAGGGGGACAAAATTTGTTCGGATGTCACGAGCGACTGATGTTAGCCGTGGCCGGTCTGGTTCACGGCGCAGTGCGCTAACCACTGCGCCACTGCTCCATCCCCCTGGGTAATAGAAGGGGTGGCGCACTAGCCAATCAGACACGAGGCGTAAGCCTACCCCTAACCACACTAACCAATCGGATACCAGCCCGAACCCTAACCACTCTAGCCAATCAGATACCAGTCCTAACCCTAACCACTCTAGCCAATCAGATAGTAGTCCTAACCCTAACAACTCCAGCCAATCAGATAGCAGCCCTAACCCTATCCCTAACCTCTCTAGCCAATCAGACACGAGCCCTAAAAGCCTACCCCTAACCACACTAACCAATCAGATACCAGCCCTAACGCTATCTCTAACCACCCTGTTTAGATTGTTGTCCTTCTCCCGCACCTCCGATGAGCACGGTTGGCTACGTACGGTGCGAAAGAGGCTCAACGTACACACAACGTAAAACCATAACCCCAACCGCGCGAGCCAATCAGTCACTAACCCTACCCCTAACCCCCAAACCCTACCTACAAAAGCTAACAGACACCATCCACACCTCTGACCCTATCCCTAATCCGACAGTGGCCACGATTTGACTGCAACAATTCGGAGTCGGGAATTGGTTCGCCTCAACGTTTGACCCCGCCCCCCGCCCCCCCCATCTCGTCTGCGGTGTTCCTCCCCCGCTCTTTCCCGTCCGCACACTCAACGGCGCCTTGCGTGTATAACACCAAGCAGCACGTCCTTCGCATTTAATTCGCATATCAAGCGCACGGCTGCTGTGACGAATCCATCCACAAGCTGCCGCGATTCGATGCGCGTGTTGAGAGCTCGTGCTTTGATGCATTTTCTTTTCATTTACCCGATCCATCGTCGGCGTCCTGACTCGCCTATCGCAAAGTGTAAGCACCCTAGCCGCCACCACCACCACCACAACCCCAACTCCCTACGCATCACCATCGCCAGCCATCGTCTATCCACTGCCGGATGAAGGCCTCGACCAAGCCGTCGCCCCCTCCGATCGGCGACGGCTCGTTCGGCTCACGAGCCGATCCCACCGCTCCGTCTCCTGCAGCGGACACAACCCCCCCCCCCCACCCCTCGGGGCACGTTTCCAGCCTTCGGTCGCCACTCCGCTGTTAGTCTCGACCACCGGGGGGGGGGGTGGGGCAGGGGGGGGAGGAAGGGGGCCCCATCTGACGACGCCTCCTGCTGCCCCCAAACCCCCACGCGTTCCTCGTAGCGATCGAGTCCCTGGGGCTTCCCCCCCCCCCCCCCCCGATCGTCTCAGCCTCAAGCGAGTACCTGGTGCCATGAGTACCTGGTGCCGTAAGCAACATCGTCAGCAAGGAGGCAAAGGCCCCCCCCCCCCCCCATGCGAGTCGTGTGCTATGCATGGCCCTTCATAGGTGCTTCCGCTCGCTAACAGCACTTGCCCCTGTCAATCTGCTAAGGCTACACGGGGGGGGGGGTCTTTTGTCTTTTGTGTGCGTGTGGGTGCGCGCGATCGTGTGCGATTACATGTGCAGACAAGTTAATGAAAATTAATCTTCCATTTAAATATGCAGCGGCAATTGAAATTAAATGTCGTCTGGTAGTCTTGTGTGATACGTGGGGAGGCAGGCGGAATAACATTGCGATTTAATAGCCCGCGTTTTGTGACTCTGTTCGATGATTACGAGGCTGCACATGAATCCATCTGTATTCGTGTTCGGTGCGTTTAAGTGTCCGTGTCGTATTTGTGCGTGTGTGCCAATTACCGGTGCAGCGGTTAGCGTGTTGCGCTACGAACCCAGTCGCACGAGTTCGATTCCCGCCCGAGTTTTTTTTACTGCTCGCTAGCAATGACTGTGAGATATGTGCATTTCATTTTTTTGCAGATTTTGAAGGACAAATTTGGGTCTTGCCTTGGATATTCGGATCGTTTACGTGATGCACTCAATTGCAGTGTTTTTTTGCCAAAGATGGTCTCAAAGTGACTCTGGCAGGAAAAGCAGAATCAGAATATTTATTTATACTGGAGAAATCCGATGAGCTATTAAGCACCTTTTCCCAGATGTCCAAGGAAGTGACATCCTTGGACGTGACATCACTTCTTGTGACGTCGGTATTTTTGGATCAACCCGAAATATAATTATAAATTTGGGCATCGTTCGAAGTTTCACATCCGGCCGCTGATTGGTAAATGTTCTTTGTGTGAAAATGAATTGATCTGAAAATTAGGAACGCATCATCCCTACTGTTAACATTTACCATGCAAAGGGAGCTGTTTTGTGTTGTTGTTCGTTAAAGTTCGATCCTATCCTTTTCAAAACGTATGACCAGTGTGGAAGACAAGGCCGAAAACACCCTCCAAAGATCCATCAACTAAAAACTATATACTGTATATTTTTTATGTTACCAGGTAAGGCCCACTGAGCTATATAGCTCTCTTTCAGAAGTGACCTGGCCACAAATGATAGCTCAACGAAGTGGCTTAGCACGTGGAAATTTAGATCAGCCGAATGCTCTCAACGCGTGTCTCTAAATGTGGGGGTAAAAACCGGAGGACCCGGAGGAAAAATCCACGCGACCACGGAGAGAGAGAGAGACACGGCAACTCCAAATATACAACAGTAGGCATCAGGGTTGGGATCAAACCCACCGCGTCCTGTGTACCAGGCGAGCTAGTTAACATCTCGCCACCCTCTAGTGGAGGTCCAACATGTACCCTGCTGCACTCATTGTCTCGCAAACGTTTTTGTTTTGTTGTCACTGCTGCCGCCGCTGTGCTCACGTGAGCACCAGGGAACCACCCGTGTAAAATAGCCGGGCGTACTGGCCACACGGGACCACCCATCATCCGTGCACACGAATCAAACTAAGCCTACGGCTGTCACAGGGCTGCGCCTTCATAGCTCACCGTGTAATTTGACGGGCGGCACATTTCTTTTTTTTTTTACTCCTTTGAGATTTGAAAGGATAAATCAGTAACGTCTCAAATGAACATCTCCGCGTCAAATACCTAAAGCCAATTGTGAAGCCTCCACGTTCCTATGATGGGGGCGGGGGAGGGGGTCAGTCCAATCACGGAGCGTGTGCTGATGACTTCACACAAAGTGGTGCATGATTTATCGACACTGGATGAGTAATGATGATGATTGTGGTGGGAGTCGAGTGCTCTATTAAGTGCAGCATTAATGCATATGTGAGGAAACAAATGAAATAATGAGTAAATAAACCATGCCCTGTTCTGCATCTCCGTTTTTAGTCCGTGAAGCTCTTCGACCTCTCCAGGACCTGGCGTGGGTCTCACCATCGGCCAGGCTCCCTAAACCAACACTCTCCGGTGATTCACAACAGAGCGCATTGGCGAGAGCACTCCCTCTGATTGGCGGCGCCCCCTGTCACAGTGACAAAGCAAACTCGTTACGCAGTAACGCAGAGCGACTGGTGGTAATTAAATTAATAAATTGCCCTCCTGCCACCATAATCATCATCGTCGTGAGCCACGATCTATCCACTGCTGGATGAAGGGATCTCCAAGCGGCCGTCATCAATCTGGCTCCGTACGGAGGGCACCGATTTCACCGTTCCATCTACCGAGAATCTAGGTCCTGGCCGCCGTTCCGTCGTTAGTCTCGACCACCGGCCATCGTGCATCCCAGCGGCGTGTCCTGCCCCAAGTCTCTCTCCGCTTACCACGCAGCTTCTCCACAACCTCTGGCCGCTCTCTTGCTGTCTTTTAAACTTAACTATAAGCAATTTAGATTTTTTTTTTTTACCAGGTAAGGCCCACTGAGCTATAGCCCTCTTTTTTCAGAAACAACCTGGCCACAAATGATAGCTCACCGAAGTGGCTAATCGTGTGGAAATGCATAGCAGCCAAATACTCTAAGCACGTTACTAAATGTGGAGCGTAAAAGCGGGGGACCTGGATAAAAATCCACGCGACCACGGGGAGAACATGCAAACTCCAAATATACAGCAGGTGTCAGGGTCGGGATCGAATCCACGATCTCCTGTATACCAGGCGAGGTAGCTAACATCTCCTAGCCACCGTGGGGCCCTCTCAGTGCAATTTCATTCTGTCAAACTACCGCAGCGGTATTCGTAAATGGCCTCACGCTATTCGAATTGTGCAAATGTACAAAAGCGCAAATTATTTAATTAATGGAAGGGTAAAATCGGCGTCGTTTTGAGGTTTGGAATAGTGAGCGTGCTACAGCAATTGTAATCGGGAAGAGGAGGAGGTTGTGCGATGAGTGGGACACACGTGCAGGGTAGAGGACAGGGTGAGCGACTTGGAGGTTGTGCGATGGGTGGGACACGTGGTGTGCTTGGTGGAGGAGGAGCAGGAGGAAAGGTGACCGGGACGGGCGTTTGGAGTGGTACCCCAGAGGTCAATGACCAATGGGGAAGACCTAAAGCCAAGACGCTGGTGGAGATGAGACCACAAGAGTGGTCCTTGAAGGTCCGGGGGTGTTGACTGGACAAGGAACTGCAGGATTTTGTTTACAGACGGAAGGATGCGATGGCAAGGCGGCATGAACGGCTTTGGCCGTGGTGACCTCTTGACCTCGAGTAAGACCGCGCGTGGCGTGCGTTTTTATTTTACCAAGCACCACTTTTTTGTTAATCTTGGACAGAGAGATGGACGATCTTTACTCTGAGTGCTTGCCACGATATGGCCACACAACGATACAATAGACGTTGAGCAAAATACCGAAGTATTGCAGGAGGTTACTGGTGCTCAATTCTTATTTTCTCAAATATGTTATTTCCTGACAAAATATTTACCAAATAACAAACACGGCAAATAATACTCCAAATATATCACCCTTACACGGTTAAATTAGAGGTTTGCAAAACGTTTACCGGAATAATTATGAGGCGTCGTTATTTATGTCTCGTGTAACTGACAGCATGAGCGTTCTAAACGTTGCGGTAGCCAGAAGATCCGCGGGAAGGCTTCCGTTGATCGAACTTAAGGGATGAAGAACTGTAAATTTGTACTGCACTGGAGGTATAGAAAAAGACAAAGGCGCACTCCAATGAAATTGCGAAGTGAGATTACAAATTCAGAGGACGCTGGATATTGCGTCATAATCGTGCAGCTCGATGTCGTATCGTCGTCAACAAGTGATATCGCGGCAAACCTACTAACTGGTAGCCAGGTGAGACAACAGTGAGGCCAGGAAGCCTCGCTAGCAACGGAAGCCGGGTCCAAAAGCAAACCATGACGCAAGTCCAAACGTAGCAGACCGACAAAAAACAAGGCACAATATAAAATGTCAAAATCAAGTGAAATGTCATAAACACAGAAAGTGTGCACTCATCCGATGTTAACATATGGTTATATTTGGGATGAGTGCCAGGTTCAAATTTTTAAGAACAAGTTCGGCTAGGTTTTTGGAATTTCTGATAACATCCGTAATATTACATATTTATATTTATTTACGCGTCCACGTGCTGACAAAAGCGAGATCACCCGACGTCACGCGATTCCAAATGATTGGTGGGAACAAAATGACGGTGATGTCACTCCTGGTTTTCAGACCAATCTCCAACTAAATATAATTGCTGGATTTTGTCCAAACATTGTGTATATCGCAGACCGACTTTTTGTATTCATAAGATCAATGGCATCACATCCCAAATATATATGTCAACATCTATTTAGAAAAGCCGTAGAGCCAGTCAGAAAAATTGGAGAAAAAAAACTTGATATGAAAGAAATCCCTCTGTTGGCACCGTGATAGGAATCATGTAAACAGAGAAGAGTGAAGGATTACCACATGATTAGAGCGATGGTCAGATGGCTCGAAGTTCACGGTGCTAAGACCACTGAGATCCTGGGTTCAAATCCAGGTTTTAGTCCCACAATTGTACCGAGTTCATGATTCGAGTGAGCCAATGGTGTCAGCCCGGTCACCAACAATTGAGTAAAAATCGGATCACGTAAAATTTCCGTGTTTTTTAATGCTTAATTTGGCAAAACTGCGAGAATAAAAATGTTTGCTTTTCATTGCCATGCGACAAATATTTCTGCGTGTGGGAGAGTTCAAGCAACCCGCATAGGGTGTGAATAGGAACTTTGACCAGTACAGGGGATCGCAGAAGTAGTTCTATGATAGATCCTTCAGCGGGCCACTCTCTAACAGGGACGTGGGGACCCATCCCCTTGCGTCGTGACGCCGGTGGTGCGGCCTCTCGCTATCGTGCGGCTGGAAGAACCATTTATGTTGTAGTCGTGAAGCTGCATCACCCTAACCGTCCCCACCAACCCCCACCTAAACTGCCTCACCCCTGCCACAACCCCCCACCACTACCTAAAGTAGCCCAACCCCCCTGTAATGGAGGGAAGGGCTGGGCCTAAACAGGAAAAGGCGGGGCCTAGAGAAGAAGGGGTGAGGCCTAATCAGGAAGGGGTGGGGCCTAAGGAGGCAGAGTTGGACCCTTAAACGGTTGAACTACCCTCTTTGATTGAAAGTAATCGGCGCAGCAGGTAGCAGTAACATAACGTTAGTGCTGCAGATGTGGCCACGGGCCAACTAGTTGGAATAAAATCGGCGCAAAGCAAAAAAAAACAACACAACTCAAAAAACAACGGACACGGAGGTAGGTGGGGAAAAGTCATAAGACCGGTCGTTAAGATCACTGGGAATCGCGAGACAAAACAGTGGGTGGCTGTAGTCAGTCGTTTGCGTGCGCTTGGGGGTGTGTGTGTTATGCCCGCGCGTGCGTGTGTGTGACACATGCAATGGGGGGGTTCACGTACTTCATCAGCTTCTTCTCGTTCCGCAGCTTGACGCTGCCATCGTAGCTGTGTTCACCAATGCTGCCTTCTTCATTTGCAGGGTCCTTGTATTCCCTGGTCTGAAAATAAGCAATGCCAACAACAGCAACTTGTGTTTATACTGCAAAAGACAAAGATCCCCGGTGTAGCCTAAAGACGCTTTTGGGACAAGTGCTGTTAGTGAGCACGACACCCAGCCGCCTTTGTCTCCCAAGTGGCGATATTTGAGGCTGAGTCAACCTAAGGGAGGCTCAGGCACCGTTGCCAGTGTCATAGAACAGCGCATTAAGCGTGACACAACCTGCCTCCCCACTGTGCCCATATTGTAACAAGTGCCTCATGGGCGCAGAGTTTTAGCCTGGGGGACCCCCGAGTGGCAGCTGTCCTTGTCTGGCACAAGGTGAACACAGCACCGACCTGCAAGAGGCCATTTGTCTGCACGTGAGTTGGCGATGTTGCTAACGGCCAATGTTAGAAGATAGTGACGGCAATAGTAGGAGCATTGGCAGCGATATCGAAGCACCAAGTGTCGGGACCTAAGATACTACCCAGGGTTTAATTTAACTTGGCCTCGGACTTCATTTAATGAAATAACCAAAAAATGTGCGCCTTTTTTTTAATAGGACAACTGTGGCTGTCCAATCGAAGCGACTGGCCACCTGCAATAGGAACGTGGAATTTCGCTGCCTCAGGGCCAACAACGCAGATCAGCACCGCCCCTCCAGCCCCACCCCCCATCCCCATCGCTCGTTTGAGCTGGGAGGCTCAGTGAATTTTTCGTGAATCTTTCAAATCAGTTTGGCAATCAGATTAAGATTAATTTGCTAACCGTGGTCTGGTTGCACACATTTCGGTCGATGATCCATAATATTATTCTATTTTGCTTTTGCCAAAGCGGCACTCGCAAAGATGGACTTGATGGCCATCGCCGGATAAATTGCGACTGTTAAGTCACAGCCGCCAGTAATGACATCCTCTTATGCGTAGCTTTTCAATCTGGAAAAAAATGTAGGATTTACTTATTTAATATATACGGTAAGTCCTCGCTCAACGCGTGTTTACACAACGAGTTGTCGCAAGAGTGCAATTTTTCCATTAAGGAACACTTCCCGTTGAAACGCGGAATGTGCACCGTTATAACGCGGTTTCTAAGAGGTCGACAACTACTTTCTAGAGCTGCGCGGCAGAGCGGAGTGATACAGTCAGAGGAATGATACGGTGACGCGGCGCCAAAGCCTCAGCTATATGTCCCGCCATCTCACTGTGCGGTGTGCGTAGTAGTACATCATATCTGGCCAAACGTTAGCGTTGCATTATTCGTGGAGAAATCGTTTTCGCTTAAAGCGGCAACTTTTCGGGAAAGCTTCCACAAGTGTACGCGAACGAGGACTTTCCCTTCTCTCGCTTCCCCGAGGTTCTTACCATGGTCCGCTGACACCACTTACAGAAGCCACAGGCGGCGATGATGGCTGTGAAACAAACGGCCAGGACGGCCGAGACCAGCAGCACCAGCACCGGGAAAGAGTCTGCTTCACGGAGAAGACAAAGACAAAGATCATCCCCCGTGTAGCCTCCGCAATACTGATGGGGCAAGTGTGTGTTTAGCGAGCAGCACCTATGAAGAGCCCGCCACGGAACAGCACCACGCCCAGATGCATTTGACTCCCAAGCACCGTTGATTGGAGTTTTTTTTTTACACGCTGAACCAGATACTCATTTAGGGCTGAGTCTACCTAGGGGAGGCCCAGGACCGAAATCCAGAGTTGCAAGTGACTGAGGAGCGACATGAGCAACACGCTTGCCGGGACTTGAACCCAGGTTCTTGGCTTCAAAGCAGACTGCGGTAACCACTGGCGGCCACCACTCTGCCCTGTTGTTCGACCGTACTTCAGATTTCACTCACCCCTGGCACACGAGCCATGACCGGGGAACGTAACTCGGGTCGGCGGGTTCGTGAGCGAAGTTACGCAGAGTTAGCTGTCGTAGATTCGATAAGGGGGGTGGGGGGTGGTGAAGATGAGAGGGAGGGGGGGCCTCGTGTCTCGGAGGGGCTGCTGTAATTGAGCTGTAGCCTCCTCGCCCCCCCCCCCCCTGATTGCGCGTCTCTATCCCCCAGGTACGCGCAGAATAGCTTTCTCGTAATTAGGTAAAAACCCGGCGAGCGCTAAACCAATTTCCAATTATAACTCGGGTGCTAATGAAAGACAAACGTCGCTAAATGCGATAGAGGATCGCGGGGGAGATTAATAGCCCGACACGGGCACTCAGCGCGTCAGCGTAACAAAGGCTCGGCATTGGCATTCGCGGGTGAAGTATGGACGTTACGGGAAGGACGACGTCCACACACACGCTCGCTCGGGATGAGTTTGTAGTTTTATCGTTTCGGATTTTCGTGTTTTGGGGTCGTTTGAATGATTGTGACATTTGAACGTGAATGCAACGTCACCCAATGTCACTAAACGATATTTAGAATAAACTATTCAATGTATATATTTTTTTTTATTTTACCAGGTAAAGGGCTACTGAGGTGCTACGTAGCTCTTTTTTAGACACGACCTGGCCACAAATGATAGCTCAACGGAGTGGCTTATCACGTGGAAATGTATGGCAGCAGCCAAATACTCTAAACCAGTGGTTCTTAACTTGAGGTACACGCACCCCCTGGGGGTGCGAGATGCCCTTGCAGGGGGTGTGAGACGTGGCCAGATTTTTTTGGATGGTAAATAATCAAAAACACAAATTAAGCACGGGCGCATAAGTACAACTACTTTGTTCCATCAAACCTATGTATTTATTAACATTATATATGTATTTTTTCGATTGAGAACAAAAGGGGTGCAGGCTGCAGCAAAAGGTTAAGAATCACTGCTCTACAATGCATGTTGACTCGAAATGTGGAGGAGAATAGCCGGAGAACCCGGATAAAAAAAATCCACGCAATTACGAGGAGAGAGAGAGACATGCAACTCCAAATATACAGCTATCGGGTTCGAACCCATGGCTTCCTGTATACCGGGCGAGGTAGTTAACAGTGTCTCGTTGGCAGAATCGGGTTTGCTTGAACCGCTTCTGGTGAACTGCCAGATGCAGGCTGCGGTTCGTCCACTAGGAGCGTTGGGGCGCCACCCACACCAAGCAGCTGGAGATAAGAAATTATTTTTCTAATAAAAAATACTTTTCTATAAATTGTTTTGCTAAAAAAAAATGTATTCTTTCAACGTGAATTGCCTAATGAAGATAACATTTTCAGTTGTTCACGTTAAAAACCGCTGCAACACCGCAGTCTGATTTGTGCCTCAGGGAGGTCCTCGGGGTGGCTGTGAAGGCGTCCGAGTGAGAGATGTCCCTTCATGCATTGTGATTAGCTTCGAGCATTATAGCCACGCCGTTTGAGGCCCATTCAGGGTGCAGTAGGTCACGACTTTTGGCAGTGTCAAAGGAGTTGTGTAGTGTGGACTTGAGGGCCATGGGGACAGTATTTGAGTGCGTTGTTGTGTTTCGTATTGTTTATGAATGCCGACCGTTGGTAGACAATGCAGTGACATAACTTTCACGGGAAGGCCAATAACATGACGAGGTTTTTCTTAATTAGAACACCGTCTTTTCAGAGGTCACTCACAACAGCCCCACCTAATGGCTTTATTTTGGTGATGTCGAAAACGTTTTTTGGTTGGCCATGTTTGTTTGTTGTAGTACGGAGTTACACGGTGGCCTTAATCTAAGTTGTCTTGTGGTTGTTGTTGTTTGACTTGCATCCCACTGGGATTTTTGCACACAGCGTTGGTGTATGGTGCTTTTTCAGGAATATTTTGCTGTTTTTCCTGGATTTTCTGTTTGCACAGTCACATAATCACTTTAAGATGTTTTTCTTGTTCATGTTTTTTGCTTGTTGTGGTTGCACCCGAGTCAAGAGCCGAATGGTTCACAGGGCTATACCAAATAAATGAAAACTGAAAACTGAAAAAACGAGCCGCCACCGGCCACATGTTTATAGGCAATGTATGTATGTTGAACTTCTTTCGCGCTGTACGTAGCCAACCGTACTGAGCGGAAGGGTGGGGGAAGGACAACAAACTAAACACAACAAGCAGTTCAAAAGTGAGTTTTCAGTCTTGTTGATTTAAAAGTGCATAGTTCCAGTGGCTTAATGTCGGAAGAGCGTTCCAGACGGCCGCAGAAGCGCATCTGACAGCGCAGAATGCAGTGACCACCGTCTTTGTCCGATTGTTAGTTGGCGTGATGGTTTATGCTCCTTGCCGATATCAGAAAGGTATTGTGGTTCATTCGTGGCAAGCACTCTGTGTGTAATGAGTGCAGAGAGGCAAGGGCCTTCCCTCTCTGTAAGTTATGGGACCTCATTAAGACATGTAACTATGCAGTACAGTCGGAGATTACACGCACAAAAGGTCTACACGTTTTCCGTCAACACTGCGGCCCTAACAGAAAACTATAGCAGTCAACGTTTTAGGCAACGATTATTCAAACCACATCGAGCTGCCGGAGAGATAAAGTGGAAAATAAGAGTTGGAGATCGCACACTATATTATGGGGAGCTGGTGAGACTTTGTTTAAGTTTTCCGATTATTCGTTTTTAAATAGAGACGTGAATGTTTACACTCAGTAGTTGTCGAGTAACAGAAAAAGCCCTCATTAATCACAGTAATTTCGACTAAATAAACTCATTAAAAGTTAATATAAAACGTCCTTGGCATATTGCAATGTGGAAAGACTTGTTCTCGTTTCACACAAAAAATGGACAATCATTACAGCCATCGTCGTGCGGGATATACAAACACAGAACAAAACTGGGAGGCAGTTAATCCTGTGAAAAGAGAGAGAGGGGAGAGGGAGGGGAGGGAGAGGGGAGGGAGAGACGTGGACGACACGAGCCCTGGGCGGCCGTCATTTGTAAACCGGGCGGCCGCCATTTTTAAACAGAGAGGCAGCCATTTTTTTACCGGAGGGCAGCCATTTTAAAAAAATAAACTTCCGCTTCGTACTTACCCAGGTGGGCTCGGAAATCCTGGGACGTGTGGGACGCGACACCTGGGGACGGACAGGGAGACAAACCCGCACGTCATGGCCAATGTTACTCAAACAGGGATTCTGGGCAAGGTGACTGGAGATCACACAGCAGCAGCAGCAGCAACATCGCCCCCTGCTGTGAAACTACTGCCGACTGTGTGCTGCACAGAATCACAATCTTGTTATGTTGAGGAATACACTGGAGGAATCCGATGAGCTATGAAGCTCTTTTCCCCCCACAACAACAAACAATCCAAAAAAAACACGACACGAGTGCAAAGTATAGGAAAGGTAAAACAAATCACCAGCAGCAGCAGTGCCTTCGTGATTTAATCTGCCTGCGCTGTTAAGAATGACAGCGCCATTACCGACATGAACTTAAATACTCTTTTTATGTATTTATTGAAAGGGCACCACGGTGGCTAGGAGACGTTGTCTTGCTCGCCTGGTATGCAGGAGGCCAGGGGTTCGATCCCGACCATGACACCTGCTGTATATTTGGAGTTTGCATCTCTCTCTCTCCCCGTGGTGGCGTGCATTTTTTCCTCCGGGTCCTCCGGTTTTTCCATCTGCATTTAGAAACATGCATTGAGATTATTTAGGTGCTATAAATGTCCAAATGCTTGGCCGCTTTGTTGAGCTATTTTTTGTGGCCAGGTCGCTTGTGAAAAATAAGTTAATACCTCAGTGGGCTTTGCCTGGTAGGATGGGGATGGTTTAGTTGAATTTGTGTGTGTTTGGGTGATTTGTTTACCTTTCTCGTACTCTTCACTACTATCGTGCTTTTGTACTATTGCTTGTTGTAACGTTCTTATCCATATGTGAAAAAGAGCTTCATAGGTCATCTGATTCCTCCTCCAAGTATAAATAAACATTCTGATTCTGGCGTGGCAGTTTTGTTTGTTTGTCTGACGGGCGATGAACGAGCCCATTGCGGCGATGCCCGCAGTCATTGTGATCTTGGAGAGTCGAAACGAGGCCGCCAAGTTTCACGAATCACTCTCTCCCCACCGGGTCCGTCCACCCAGCGGAAACTAATCGGGCAACACCGCAATTAAGTGGAGGATCGGCAAGTGACGCGTCTGGTGGGGGGTAAAGCGTGGGTGGGATACTTCCCTCCTCTTGCCAAAGACGGTCTGACCAGCGTGGAAGAGGTGGCCAAGATGACGCCCTGAGAGGGAAACTCTCTACAGCTCGCTCTGCGTGGAGGCTCTTTCTGCCAGCGGTGGCGTGAGCAAGTCATTGCAGGGCTGCGCCTTTGTCTTGTGTACACTTCTGCTGCAGCACCACAGCCAGGGCACAGGAAGTGCAAAGGTGCATGTGAGATGGGGTGGGAGGTGCAATGCCCGGGTAATGCACTGAGAGGCAGCAAGGAGAACGCTAGGTTTTCTCCTACACCTATACATGCTCCCGATACCGCCTTAATATATATGTAGAGGATCACAGAGCTTGGGCAATCGTTGGTAGCGCCGGCTCATGGCGTGGTGGCTACATTCCCGTTCCTTGTCTGTGTTCCTCCTCAAGCCTCCGAAGTCGTCCTCTCTATACGATAGCGAGTGACTACTGTGCAGCGGTCCGTTACAAGTTGAAATTTTTATATTGTTATCATATTGACTAGCTATTACTGTTTACCAGGTGAGGCCCACTGAGCTATGTAGCTCTTTTTTAGAAGCGACCAGGCAACAAATTATAGCCCAACGAAGTGGTGTATCACGTGGAAATTTATAGCTGTCAGATACTCTAAACGCATGCTGTTGACTGTAAATGCAGAGGGAAAACCCGACGGACTCGGAGAAAAATCCACGCAACCAAGAGGAGAGAAAGAGACGCGCAAACTCCAAATATACAGCAGCAGGCGTGAGGGTCGGGATCGAACCTACGAGCTCCTGTATACCAGGCGAGGTAATTAACATCTCCTAGCCACCGTGATGATGATGAGAGAGAGAGACACCGCAAACTCCAAATATACAGCAGCAGGCGTCAGGGTCGGGATCGAACCTACAAGCTCCTGTACACCAGACGAGGTAATTAACATCTCCTGGCCACCACGGCGCCCCCAACTAAACTGCGGTGTCACCCAATTATGTTGCTGGGTGGACAGGGGCAGCATAAGGCATGGGGTGATTTAAGAAGTTTTAACTTGGAAAACTCTTTTTGACTCGACGCCACCATGCCAAGCGACTCCACAGGGCGAACGGCTTCTTCGTTAATGAACGCGTGAAGGCGAATTGAGTCAAAGGGGCGAGCTAAGTTTAATCGGGCCACGCCGAGCACCCACTGAGTGACAATCCACACGATTAAGCTCACACTGAGTGGGAGTCACCAAACCTCCCAACTATTCCAAACCCCGCGTCGCTCATAATCCACACTCGGCGTAATATTTTCCAAATTCGATATATTTTTTTTACAATTTTTTTTTTTACAATTAATTTCGCTTGTCATGTGAATATTTGACGTTGCTTTCCAGCCCGGTTATATGGGTAGATGTTGTGATGTGATTTAATTTGTGGCAATTTTAACTGGTAACGTGACGCTACCACAACTCCGTAGGTCGAGGAGGTGGAGGAGGAACCACGGACGAGTGGGAAGGCAGCAGCAGAAGCAGCCACGCGGGTGAGGAGCCAGGGAGCTACCAACAATTGCCCACGCTCTGCGGTCCTCTGCATGTTTAGGTGTTATTGGCCAAATGACGCGTGTTTATTCGCACATGTAAATTCCATATCTGATCGCCTTGTGTTTTGCAGTACGGTGACGCGCGGTCAGAAGCGAACGGTGATGTGCGCTGGTGTGGCGCGTTGTGCGTAAGGTGCAACGCGGCTATTCCAACTCGCGTGCCGAAAGATTTTCACCGCGACGAAAATTGGCGAGGCGTGCCAGAGTCAGATGGACCGAGACGGGGATGGCGACGGCTTTGGGAGACCCTTCGGTCAGCAGCGGATAGACCATGGCTCACGATGATGGCGACGGCGACGACGACAAACGACGATTGGAAAGCCGGTGACTGCTAAAGAGGAGATTCGTCGTTGGTAATTTACACTTCAGCCAAAAGCCGAACCCCTCCTGACCAAAGTGAATAAAATAACACGGTGGGTTTTAACCCCCGCCCCCCCTTCCCCCCTAACCCCTTCCCTCCTCCCCCCCCACAATTTCTTTCAACAGAGCGAATGCTCCGAGCAGATTTGGAGCCCGCAGTTATTAACTCCCCGTGGCTATTTTGACAAAGCGCTGCAGAAAAAATGTCAACTCCACACCCGCAGTCGTTACCGGCGCCGAGGATGGGGGGGGGGGGGGCGATGGTGGGGGCCGGTGGGGGGGGGCGGCAGTGGGGGGCGGGGGGGGGAGTGGAAATAGTCGAGCCCCGTTAAACGGCGGCAGGGCCGGCTGAACGGCGTGCGCGGCACTTCCAGCGAACGCTCCGTGCTTGCCTTGGTGATTTTTCATCGTAAAGGTGTTTTTTTTGGAGGGGGGGGGGGCGTTTGGATCGCGTAAGTATAAATCTGTCGTAACCCTCCACCACCCGACACAGCCGGTAAGGTTTGTCACGTAAAGATAACGTGGCAGTGAAATCTTGATTTGATGCTTTCGTGACTGCAGGAATCCAAACTCTTTGATTCTTTCGGTAAAGTCACTGTAGGTAGAAAATAAATAAATAAAAATCACGACGTTTCGGGCGCAACACAACGTGGCAGTGAGTTGCTGCTTCGGCCCAGCGGCGTGTTGGAGAGTAAATCCACAACGTTTACAATTTGTATATTTCCAACAAACCGGTGGGCTGAAGTAGTAACCAATTGGCACGTTTAGTTTACGTGACAAACCTTGCTGGCTGCGTCGACTGGTGGAGGGTTACGACGCATTTATACTTTCGCGATCCAACCCAGAACCCTTTATTATTCATGATGTTGATTGCTAAAGCCCCGCTGCGTGTAGCGTGATTTTCGTTAACGATCTTGAGCGCGGCGATGTCAGTGGCTCTCTCCGTCCGTCCGTCAGTCCGGTGTATAGTCGTCCTTGGGCCAGACCAGATATCGGTATCAAAACTTCGATGGTGCCATTTGATTTGTTACACCAACGGAAGTAAAATAATACGTGATAACCTTCCCAAATGAGCAGCTGTTTAATTTTGCTCGCAGGAAGCCTGTTTTTCCACCTATCGCAATCACGCAATCACGGGAATTAGTATATAAGTCATAGTAATTACAACTAAGCTGCCACTCCACAAAGGTTGTCATATCAGAATATGTCCCACACACATGGAGGATTACAAAAATCATTATTCGACTTTGCCACCTCAGATGGTACCAATAAGTGATTGTTTTTGGTCTGGGCCCATGGACTAGTAACTCTGCACGATTTTCACGACGCAGCTGTTGCCACTGAGACGCTTCCGATTGCAAATAATTGTAGATTTAAATGTTTGCACGCTGGGCTTTCGCGACCCAGCGTGTTCACGATTCACAATTTCGCTTGATCTTGGGTCCGATCTTCGCGCCGTTTACTGGCACGCCAAAAAGAGCTGAAAATGTAACAAACGCCGTTAATTTTCTTGATGATAAACCACCTTCGCAACACACGCGGTCCGCTGACACGCGCGCGCACGTTCAGGCCACGGCGCTTGAAGCTAAAGGCGCAGCCCTGCGACCGCTCGCTCACGCCACTGCTGGCGGCAGGGGACCCTCCCGCTCAGAGGGAACTCCAGAGAGCTCCCCTCTACACGGCGGTATATTTCGGTAAAAGTCACGTAGCATCAAATAAAATAAATCACGACGTTTCGGGCGGAACACAAGCGTCCCGTCATCAGGTGGGAAATCCGTTCATTGAAAGCGTGCTTTCCCACCTGATGACGGACGCTAGGTGTGCTGCGCCCGAAACGTCGTGATTTCTTTTATTTTATACCTACGTGACTTTACCGAAAGAATCAAAGATAATGGATTCCTGCAGTCACGAGAGCTTCGACTCAAGATTGACGGTATATTTGGCCGACTCTTCAAGGCGTCTCCGCGGAGGCGGCAGTGCCCACGCTT